TTTTCCATCCCGAGGCCTCTGGAGATGTCTTAGATCCTCATAATGCTGAGAAGGGTTCAGTTTGACAATATTAGTCATTGCATAATGTGGCTGTTATTATGTACAAAGTCCTCTTGGTTCTGCTCACTTCACTCAGCATCAGACCATATAAGTCTTTCCAGGTTTTTCTGAAGTCAGCCTGTTCATCATTTCTTATAGCACAATAGTATTCCATTACATTCATATACCACAACTTGCTCAGCCATTCCCCAATTGATGGGCATCCTCTCAATTTCCAATTCTTTGCCACCACAAAAAAAAAAGCTGCTATGAATATTTTTGTACATGTGGGTCCTTTTCCCATTTGTTTGATCTCTTTGGGATATAGCCCTAGAAGTGCTATTGCTGGATCAAAGGGTATGCACATTTTTGTAGCCCTTTGGGCATAGTTCCAAATTGTTCTCCAAAATGGTTGGATCATTTCACAACTCCACCAACAATGTATTAGCGTACCAATTTTCCCACATCTTCTCCAACATTTATCATTTTCCTGTTTTGTCATGTTGGCCAATCTGATAGGTGTGATGTGGTACCTCAGAGTTGTTTTGATTTGCATTTCTCTAATCAATAACGATTTAGAGCATTTTTTCATATGACTATAGATGGCTTTAATTTCTTCATCTGAGAACTGTCTGTTCATATCCTTTGACCATTTATCAATTGGGGAATGGCTTGTGTTCTTATAAATTTGTCTTAATTCTCTATATATTTTAGAAATGAGGCCTTTATCAGAGGGACTGGTTGTAAAAATTCTTTCCCAATTTTCTACCTTCCTTCTAATCTTAGTTGCATTGGCTTTGTTTGTGCAAAAACTTTTCAGTTTAATGTAATCAAAATTATCCATTTTGCTTTTCATAATGTTCTTTTATCTCCTGTTTGGTCATGAATTCTTCTGTTCTCCATGTGGCCATCTCTCTTTAACTAGCCATATAAAAACCATCCTGGGATCTGGTTCACCCATTCTCTGCCCACACTCAATCTAGGGGAACTAGGATCTGGTGAAGGAAGCATCACTTGCAACTTGTTCTTGATGTTTTGCCCTTTTCTTGCACAGAGGGGAAAGATAAGGTAAGGATGAAAGTTGGGGTATTATCCCACCTCTGCTTTGGCTCATTCCCTTTCTTTCCTGTGCCTGGAATGACCTCCCCACTCACCAAACACTGAACACCAGTTTCAAAAGCAAATTCCTAGGCTGTCATAATACTCTTCCTTCCCCAAACCCTTTTGCCTTTTGTGGTATGTACCTGGGCAGAATGGAGGGAGACTCATCAAAATAGGTTTAGGCAGGTTGTCATTCTCACAGATCATTGAAAATGAAACCCCAGAGAGCTGCCCTGGCATTGGGGATGTTGGAGACACTGGCATGTTGTCCAGGTGAGTATTGGGACCTTGCAAAAAAAGGCCAATTTATGATAGCTCTTCTTGCTGGGAGCTTAAGAACAATAAGATATTTAGCAGAATAAATGTTTTTTCATTTAGACTATTGCCATTGTTAGGTTTTGGTTTGGTTGCTATGGCTTGAACAGATAAAAAGAAACCCATCATGTTATAAATGTGACCAGGTATATTTTATTATACAGCAACTGAATCTCTAGAACCCTCCTGCAACTGAGGTCACAAATTCAGGAAAAGATTTAATTATGCCACCTTATAGTTCATTCCAACAGAACTTCAGGATCTCTTCACATCCATTTTGGGGTCATCTGTCAGCTGTACTGAACCAAGAAGGAAACAGGTGTTCTGGGATGTCTCCTTAAGAGTCCTGGCACTGGATTTCCAAAGATGGGAGAGAGTCAAGGGAAGAGGCAGAAAACTTATTTACATGATTGATATAACTTATAAAAAGGCTTTCCAGTCCACTAAACCTGTTTCCTCACACTGCAGATGAAAATGGGCACAGAAAAGAGTCAAAAAGCTTGCCCAGTGATTTAAATAAAGCAATAGAACAGTGAATTAAAAGGAAGAGGGGAAAAGGTTGTAAAATTATTTTTCAACGAGATGTCCAGAACAAATCTTCCTTCTTCCCTCCAATCTGCTCCACTAGGGTAACAAATTCAGAATAAGAAAGGGCATAAGTCACAGGGTGTGTTAGAAATTCGGTGAGTCCTTCTTTCCCTACCAAATCTCAGTGCAAGACTTGCTTTTCCCTTTAAATGGCAAAAAAACCCATTTCCCCCATAAACCTTCAGTGCACTCTCCCACAAGCACACATGTGTGTGTGTATGTATACACACACTATGCACATATATTCCACTAAATGGAGAAATCAACATTTGACAACAGAATATGGAGTGTGACAGTGAGGCAGTGAGGATGATACCCAGGTTGCAAGGACAGGTGAGTGGAAAGGATAGTGGTACCCTTATAGTAAAAGGATAGTTAGGAAGAGGAAGGTTTAGGGGGGAAAGCTAAAGAGCTCAGTTTTGGATATGTTGAAATAAAGATGTTTATAGGACATCCCATTCAAAATGTCCAATGGGCAGTTGGAGATGCAAGACTGGACATTAGGAAAGAAGTTAGGGCTGAGTAAGTAGATCTGAGGATCAAATCTACTTATGTAGATGTACTACTTATGTGCTTGTACTGTATTACTGCCAAGTGGTTGAGGTTGCTCCAAAAAAGGACTTTTCCTTAAGTATGACATAAATTATGTAAATTATTGGGTAAAGGGTAATATTTGAAATGAGACATGATTGAAAAGGCAATTATGTTTTCTGGAAAACTTTAAGAACTTAGCTCCACAGCTTAAAGAGCTTAAAAAGGCAACCCTACTGGACATCTGGCCTTCAGCCATGACAGCCATAGTTGACTGTGCCTCCAGAAACTAGCAGACTGGATTCAAAGTTTCTTGTGTAAGAATCACAACAGAGAACTGACCAGGTGACCATCAACCTAGACACATAGTGTGTGTGAAGAATCAAAGGTGACAACAATGTGTCTTATTTCCTTCTTAAAATATTTTTTTATAAAGTTCATAAATATTAAGCAAAGATTATTTATCTCAACAAATATGATCAAATAAAATGAAATTCCAAGTAAAACTACAAAATCTTTACGCATTACATTTTTATGAAACTAAAGAACATCAATTTGTGTCCTCTTCTGTTTGCAAACTTTTATGTTTTGTTATTTATATATAATTGTACTCATTCTTTCCTCTCTGTATCATTTCCTCTATCCTTCCACGTATTTTTTGTATTCTCATTTAATACCAAGGTTTCAAATGTAGGTGACTCAAGGGAATGAAGAAAACGGCAGTCTAAAAGATTTGACTTGGCCAGGGGGTGGGGGTGGGGTGGGTGCAGTAAAGGGTTAAGTTTGGTTTTGGTCTTAAGTCTGGGGTGCTATAAGCTTTTACCCACTGGATAATTGGAAATACAGATTTGGAAGTCAGCTAGAAAAATAGATTTAGTAATTACTGAAGCAGAGATGATAGTTAATGGATGAAATACATGTTACATGTCACCTCTCCCATTAGAATGTGAGCTCTTCAAGGGCAGGGACCATGTTTTTGTCTTTCTTTGTATGTCCAACACTTAGCCCTGTGCCTGGCACATAATACATACTTAATCAGTGCTTGTGGATTGACACTGCCAGGGGAAAGAGTATCATACACTTGCATCTTTTAACAAAACTTTCTGAAGGTTAACAATTAGTAAGTATAAATGATATCTAACCACAAAAAGAAGTTCTGAAGCTCTGGTACAAGGAAATCACAGCCATAAAGTTTATTTTTTAATATACCTAGATCACAAGGTAGAGATTTGGAACTGGGAAGGACTTTAGAGGCCATGAATTGCAACCTCTTCATTTATAGCTGAGGAAAAGAATGCACAGAGCAGTTAAGTGATTTGCATAAGATCACAGAGCTACTAGCATCTGAGGAGAGATTTGAACCCAGGTCTTCCTGACTCCAAGTCCAATATTCTATACAACACTCCATATCTAAAATATATTTAACATGTATTGTATGCATAACTTTTTGAAGTTAGAAAGTGAAAGCACAGAGGCAGCTAAGTGGTACAGTGGATACAGCACTGACCCTGGAGTCAGGAGGACCCAAGATCAAATCCAGCCTCAGACACTAGCTGTGTGACCCTGGGCAAGTCACTTAACCCCAACTGCCTTGCAAAAAAAAAAAAAGTGAAAGCACAAAAACAAGATTCCAGTCTTAAGCTTACCTTGGACCTGACAATGACTCTATTAATAATCTTAAGATTAATTAGGTCATGCCATTACTGTAAAGCAAAGTACAGAGCTGAACTGACCAGATAACCAGAGGTTATCTAGTCCAAGCCTCCTCATTTTACAGAGATAGAAACTTGTTATATTTTAAAGTCTTCCAAGAAAAATCTTCTCTATGGGCATTACTTTTACTACTCTTGCCTAGAAGAAATCATGTAAGCTCACAGGTTTCTTGTAAATTTGTTCCAATTTGCATGACTAGGGGTTCATAATGTTCTGAGCTGATCAGTAAAACTTACATGATGATTTTTGCCTTGTAGATGAATGCTTTAAGGAATGAACTTAAAATATGAAAAAATGTCTATAAATGGAATAATAAATCATAGTAGCCAGTTAATTAACAATAAAATTTATCTGAAGACTCATAATTGTCAGTTTTGAGAAAAGTGATTTTCACCATGAAAATAACCACGTCCTTCCTGAAAAGCTGGTGGTGTGTCTATCTGATCTCCACCTCACATCTATGTTCCACTTACAGTTTGGGATATATTTACTGTGTGTGCTACTAGTTAGGCATACCTTCTGCAAGCTGGATCTTAAAATTTCAGTTTCTATATATTTATAAACATAAGAAAATCAGATAAAAATAACTTGGTATAATGTAATATATTGACACATTAAAAGAAGTCCTATTGCACAACTACATTCACACTGCTATGCCTGTGTATTTGTTCAAATGGAAACTATGGTAAATTATGTCAAATATCTCATTGTGGTAATATTTAAGTGTTATATACTTTATTCAGATACACAGTTCTTAAATTTTTAAGATATTCTTATTCATAGTGAAGAAAAAAAAGTCTTTCCATTTAAGAAAACTGATGATCCAAGACATGGTTTATCACAAATTTCAAATAGTTAAAAGTTTATAAAAAGCAATCAACAGGAAAAAAAAGGAAAAATGGGAAAAGTATAATCATCAAAATTTTTTTAAAATGTTACATTAAACTGTATTTTTAACAGCTTTTACTAGACATTCTTCCCTATAATCGTAAAAAATGAAACATTCATGTTAAATAGCTGCTATGATGTTAAATTATAATTGCACCGTGAAACTGTGAACATACATGATATATATTAAATCAATTTTTTTTAAAACTGTGAGAACACAATATTATCACATAATTATTAAAATAATCACACTTCTTCTTTGGCTCTGTGATTTTATCAGTTAAGAAAACTGTCAGTGTATAAACTCCTTTCACCAACTCAAATCCCAGATACATCAGATTAAGAGCTTAGAAGGACCATACAGGTTACCCAGCTCAGACCTTTCCTTTCAAAGGGGAAACAGATTGGTAAATTGCACATAATTTATAAGCTTATTGAGTTACGTAGGCACTTGTGAGGTTAAATAACTTGCCCACCACCACACATCCAGTATGCATCCAAGGCAAGACTTTATGACTCCCAGGCTTGTCATCTATGCACTATGTGATCTCGTCTCAGATACTGGCGGTTGCTCTCATACAAAGCTATAGTGGAAGAAACATTGTTGCTTGAATAGGAAAGTTTGTCCATATCAGCACAATGAAACCTAATCATTATGTGGTTTGGATTGCATCAAATAAGTACAGCATAAGAAAAGAAATCTATGTTGTTTTGTTGAGTGTGTTAGTGTATGCAGAGGAAAAAGTGGGGCTTAAATTTGGCAGAATTTCATAGAATCTGAAATAGGTTTTTAATCAAGCAGTGGCCAGGAAATACAACTTCAGGCTGCATGGAATTGAAGTACATCTCTCCCAGCCCTTGCCATTTAAATCAATAGTACTGTGCTAGAGGAGAAGAAATGTTAGGCTCTTCAAATTAAAACTAAATATTCTCTACAAAACCAAAATAAACCACCATGAATGATCTTTCAAAATGTTAAAATGAGAAAGAAAAAGGTCAGCTAATGAGTCCAATGATAATGAAAAAAGGCAGATTTTTTTATATGTGGATGAAAGACTCCAAAATTAAGCTCTTTAAAAATTAATTTATCTCTATAAATGCAAGCCTCAAATTTTTAAAAATGGAGTGCCATGATTTTTATGAAAATCAGTAAAAGATTTTGTTTTGTTTGGACCTGGAGTTGTAAAAGTTATAAGGAAGCAGGTTTCAGTTGAAAATAAGAAGCACTTCTTAACAATTAGAGCTGTCAAAAATGCTTGCTAAGCAATAAAGTTCTTAATCACTAGAGGTCTCCAAGCATCAGATAAGAAGCAATTCATGATTCAGGTAGGGGGGTTAGATGAGGTTACCTTGCAGATTCTCCCCAATTCTTCAATCTTATGATTCTCAAATGAATTCAATGAAACCTTTTTAATTTGGACCCCACTAATTTGGAATGTGTGATAAACTTAGCTACTATTTAGAATGAAGTTCATTTCAAGATATTGACAAAGAGATTGCTAGGCAAATCAACAGGGTAAGCAAGGGCAGGAGAAGAATGTTTAATATAATTAAATTGTTTTTAAGCCCTTTAAAAGCATCATTCATATGTTAACAATATAGCTACAAATTTTTATATATTAAACAAATATGGAAATAACTTTATTAAGCAACACTAGTTCATGTTGCCACATGTGGCTTAAGGTAATAATCTTGTATTTCTTTAAAACTGATATTAATTTAAAGTTAGCTTTTCCCCTCAATTAATTCAGATTCATAAGGTTTTACTCCAGTTCCAAAAGCTATATTGTGTAACCTACTAATGAATTTATTTATTGTATGGCAAAATGAAAATTCCAATTTGCTTCCATATATAACCAACATATTGCAATGCCCATTAAAATTATTTCCTTTTTTTCTTCTCTGGCTTTGTGGAAAAAGGCTGAATTTTAAAAGGATTCCATCCTTTCTTAAGGAATTTTACAAATCAAACACTTAGGAAAGATTACAAACATTCTTATTATGTTACTTAGAAAAGAAGAAAAAATTACACTTTGCTTTAAAGTATTCCTCCATTTTTTAGTATCAAGAGCAGACTTGTCATAGGGCACCTATATTCAAACTATCCTAAATGTTCATAATTCTAAAAGATCATATTAAGAGGCTGACAATTATCTTTATATCTGTTCTAACATGTTATTCAGAAAATGAAGCAGCTCATTGAGCAGTTATGTGTTCTTCTGCACTAATACATATACTCAGAAATTATTCTTAATAGAATATTTATAATTTCTCCTGTTTTATTTAATCTGATGGTGAACAGTCTACTAGAAAAAGTCAAGGAGTCAAGAGACCTATGTTCTAATCTCAGCTCTGTACTAACTAGCTGTTCTGGACACCACATCACACTGCTCTGTGCCTCAGCACATTTCAAGTAGTGACAATACCATCTGATTTACCTACTCATAGGGCATAATGAGTATAAAATGAGGTAACGTAAAAGCAATTTGAAAAGGTGAAGACACTACACAAATGTAAAGTAATAAGCTGTGAATTTTTATAATAATTGTTAGACAATCTGAAATTTAACCAAAATAAAAAGGCTGCATAATTTTTAAGAATTACAAAATGTGGTAGTTTTATAAGGTAAATTAAAATAGCAAAGCTAGGAATAGCAACAAATTCTACTTGGCAAGTTCTCATTTAATTACATAAACTATAGTTACAAAAATCTAGGTAATATTCCATGAAAATGTTCTTATTGACTGCAGTTTACGAGTTCTTGCCCAGATCTATGGATTGCCTAGCATCAGCAACTGCTTCAGGTACTCGGACAGTCATATTGTTCATAGACTTTGTTAAACAGATCTGGCAGCCCAAGCGTGATCTGTTAAAAACAAAAACAAAACAAAACAAAAACAAACAAACAAAATACTCTTTAGTTTTAGCTGACTACTTGCATGATATGAGTTACACAGAAAACTCTGACATTTTCTTATAGAAGAAAGATTTGGTGGGGATCATGGCTCCTGAAGATCCAGAGGGTGTAACAACCTTTATTTTGAAATCCTAAAGAAAACTACTTTTCCCACAGTCAACCAGCAGTCTTGTTTCACACTTCCTAACAAGAAGGGATTAAACTGTTCTTTGTTTAAATTGACTCTTTGTCCATGATCAAGATTAGATCAAGAATCATTTTTCTTTGAAAAAAGTTGATTTCTGATTAGTGCCATATATAAACATTAAATAAAACTTCATTAATGATATGCCTCCTAAGACTTTTAGCAACTCCAGTTTTGACTGGAATGAAAAATAACCACTGATAAAGTGTTACGTGGTAGAGATTTTTTGAACAGATAAAAATTATTTATAATTATCAGTATGTGCTGAAGTCCTTAAAAAGTCATGAGTGTTTTCTCAATTTAAATTTGCCCCATATATGTCTACACATATATATGTATATATACCAAGTCAAAATAAATTACCATAAAACTCCAAATAAATGATTTCAATTAATGAAAATTTTACTATACTGTGAAATCTAAAACTGATAACCTTTTACAAATATTTATGATTCCAACTTAGCCAACAGAAATGTCATATGTATAGCACCATTTTACTTAAACTGTAAGCATGATGTGTTAGGTGAAAAAGACCTTATTTTCACATGTCTAGCCTTGGAAATAAATGATTTTATAATCCCTTAACTTTTATTCAGACCTAAAAAAGTCCTAAAATCTTACGTGTCTGTTAGTCCGTAGGCCAGATCAAGCATGTCATTCTCCTCATCAGTAATTGCTTCTAACTTTTCAAATATGTGGTCTTCAAAGACAAGGTGACAGGTGGAACAAGCTAATGTTCCTTCACAGGCACCTATAAAAGGGACAAAGATTGAACTGATTGATCTCTATACACTAAAAAAAAATACAATGTTTCCCTAAAGTTAAAGGTTTTCCATGAAAGGTTTCTGATTTAGAACTTGAAAATATTAGGATACTTTTCTCAATTAGGGGTGAGAATGAGGAATGAAAAAAATTCAGCAATTTTTTCTACCAATATTTTCTGTTTGAAGGAATCAACCAACCAACAAATATTTGTTGAGTTATTACTATGTAAAAGACACTGCGTTAGAGCTGTGGAGAATTCAGGAAAAAACACAATACAGGGTAAATGCCATCACAGCTTACAATTTAAAAGGGAAACAAAAAACACATGCTATTTTTTATATTAGTTAACTTTTTCCCACAGAACTCAGCACAATTAATTAATTTTTACAATACTTAAACTGAACTAGTAAGAAGAAAATGAAAATACTTGTAGGAAGAAAACATAAAAAAGTTATCAATATCTCACTCCACATGGTCAGAGAATGATCAAATGTGTCACTATGACTTACATGCTTTTAAGGGGGGGGGCATGTTTCTTATGTTGGATTTTTTTTAGCCTTCAAAAAGAAATCTTGTTTTTATAATGTCATATGTTCTAATCCTAGAGCTCTAAGACACCCAATCAGCAAGTCTCATTGATTCTTCCTCCACAATGTTGGTTTAATTCCTTCCATTCTTTCCATGACCACTGATATCATCCCAATATCAGTGTCTCATGCTACAATACTACAATAGCCTTTTAAGTTGGCTCACTTTCTCTAGTCTCTCCTATCTACAATGCAACATGCACAGTACAGCCAAACTGATTTTCTCCAAGTACGTCGATTAATTTGGTTCCTGTTTCAAATATTTTATACATATATATGTATGTGTACATAATATGTATGTATATGTATATAAATGTTTATACATGATCACATATCCAACTTAATTCAATAAACATTCATAAAGTACCTGCTATATTCGGAATTCTGTGTTAGATGCTGAGGATAAGCCAAAAAGTACTTTAAAGTAATCTTTGCTCTCAACGAGCTTACATTCTATGGGTATAACAAAACATGTATACAATAAGTACATACAAAATATATACAGAATAATACAAAGTAATTTTAAACAAGCAGTAACTAGGTCAATTGAGAGAGGACTTGTGGAGAAGGTGGCACCGAACTGGGTTTAAAGGAAGTAAAGCAGGTGGAGGTAGAAGTCGAGGTGAGGGGGTAGACTATCTATGAAAAGCCATGGACATGGGAGAGATGGAATCCTGCACATACAGGCAAGAGGTGGCAGGCCCATGTGCGTTTTTTTTTTTCATTTTGAAACAAACTCTTTATACTAATAAGTTTATTCCTTCTGGTGTGAGAGAATCAGTGACTTTTGAGTTTATCTTCAACACCAATCCCCTGTGTCACTACCTGAGACAAGTGATCAACACATCTAGGGACAGGGGACTCATGAAGAAGCTCAATCCACTTTCTGAAAAGATCTAATTGTTAGGATGTTGTTCTTGAGCCAAAATGTTTCCCTGTAACATTAACGGTTATGGTTCTGCCCCCTGGAACTACTGATGATCTTTCACATACTTGAAAGCAACTGTATCTCCTAAGTCTCCTCTGGGCTAAACAGCCACAGTTCCCTCATTTGTTTCTTACATATCTCTTGATAGTATTATTAAAATTAGCATCATTCTTCCTATTAATTCTAGTGAGGTTTCTTTGGTTTTTCTTCCTTCTCTGGAAAAAGGATAGGTTACTTTGGTGAGTGGTAGGGCTCTTTCTGCCTTACTTAAGTGCCTTACAGAATTATATGAACATCATGGTCTATAAAGATCATCTCAGATTCAAGGAGAATTATATCCAAATTGGGGCAACTAGGTGGCGCAATGGATACAGCACTGGCCCTGACTTCAGGAGGGCGTCAGTTCAAATCTGGCCTCAGAACAAACACTTGACACTTACTAGCTATGTGACCCTAGGCAAGTCACTTAGCCCCAGTTGCCTTTCAAAAAAAGAAAAGAATATATCCAAATTTAAAATATCTTATATCTTAAAAATGTACAGAAAGAGATTCTACAGAGATAGTCTTACACAAGAATAAAGTAAGAAAACATCTATTCTACATGATGGAATATCCTGTGTATTCTGAGAAAGGGCATATAGTCTTCACTAGACTGCCAAAACAGGACAGCAGCTAGGTGACACAGTGGATACAGCATCAGCCCTGGGGTCAGGAGGACCTGAGTTCAAATCTGCCCTCAGACACTTACTAGCTGTGTGACCCTGGGCAAGTCACTTAACTCTGTTTGCCTCAGTTTCCCCATCAGTAAAATGAAGTGAAGAAGGAAATGGCCAAACACTCCAGGATCTTCGCCAAGAAAATCCCAAATGGGGTCATGGAGAGCTGAAGAAAACAAAACAAGTAACGACAATATGTTTGACTCTCACATCAACTCTGGGAGGTAGGTGCTATTATTTTCCTCATTTTACAAATGAGATGAAGCAAACAGAAGTTAAGTGACTTGCCCAGAGTAACACAGCTGTTAAGTGTTTGAGGCCACATTTGAATTCGGGTCTTTCTGACTCCCAAGTCTGGTGTTCTATGCCACCTAGTTGCCCCTATTTCTAGGGGTTCATAATAATAAACAGAAATCTGACTTCAGAAAATCACAGAGACATTAAAATACTGAATCTGACCACAGGAGAAGCTATTAATTCTATTTGTTTGTTTTTTGTTTTTGTTGTTTTAGGCAATGGGGTTAAGTGACTTGCCCAGGGTCACACAGCTAGTAAGTGTTATGTGTCTGAGGCCAGATTTGAACTCAGGTCCTCCTGAATCCTGGGCTGGTGTGCTCTATCCACTGCGCCACCTCGCTGCCCCTTTTTTTTGTTTGTTTGTTGTTTTTGTTGTTTTAGGCAATGGGGTTAAGTGACAGAAGCTATTAATTCTGAATGGAAACTAATAGGTGCTTAATTTTAAGTCATCTCAGAGAAAGAAAAATTGTTTGGAAATAATTACCTAAAGGGACAAATAGGTAGTGCAGTGGACAGAGTGCTAAGCCTGGAGTCAGGAAGACTCATTTTGCTAAGTTCAAATCTGGCCTCAGATATTTACTAGCTGTGTGAACCTGGACAAGTTACTTAACCTGTTTGCCTGAGTTTCATCATCTGTAAAGTGAGCTAGAGAAGGAAACGACAAACATTCCAGTATCTTGGTCAAGAAAACCACAAATGGGGGCAGCTGAGTGGTACAGTGGATAGAGCTCTGGCCTTGAAATCAGGAGGACCTGAGTTCAAATCTGGCCTCAGACACTTGACACTTATTAGCTGTGCGACCCTGGGCAAGTCACTTAACCCCAATTGCCTCACCAAAAAGCAAGAAGAAAAAAAAAAGGTAACCACAAATGGGGTCATGAAGAGTTGGACACAAGGACTAAACAAAAACAACAATTAATGGAAGGCTTGTTAAAGGTTGCCCAGCTCCACAATTACTTAGAGAAAGCAAAATTCTGGTTTGACATATCAATAAACTAGCTCAAAAGATAGTGGAAAGCATAAAGACTTTAACAGACCCAGGAGGTAAAAAGGATGACGATGATAGAAAATCTGGTCTAGAGAGCCTGGAGACAGCCTATGGAAGGAAAAGTACTCCACAGATACAGCTATTTAAGGCCCAGGAAGGAAGACATATAGGTTCTGTCCCTAGAGAGTATGGAGCATACAACTTTGTATTCTATCAATAGTGCTTTAAGCATTAAGCACCTGCACTAGAAAGTCATAGCAGAAATCGAGTAGGAGTCTTCCCACTATCAGCTCTTCCCACTATCAGCTCCTCCCTTGTTGTTACTGCTCTGATGAAATTTTAACCTCTCCGAACATCTATATACAGGGTTCCTCATCTGTGCTAGGAAGGCCAGGTATCCTAGAAGGCAGGCTCAATGAGTAAAACTAGATTAAAACCAACCCCATCATTTTGCCCTTCAAAATACTACTAGAAGCAGCAGTAGCTAGCATTTATATAGCTCTTTAAGGTTTTGTAAAGCACTTTAAAAACACCCTGGGAGGTTTATGGATGAAGAAACTTTGAGGCTGGATATGAACTCAGGTTTTTCTGACTCGAGATTCAGTGCTTTATCCATTTCCCTTAATGTCTACATTTTTGTTACTGCCCCACCATTTTTCTACTCATTCAGGTTTGAAACCCTGAAGACACTTTTGACTGTTCCCTTCCCATATTCCTTCTTTCAGCAACCCAGCTAAGTTTTCTTTTTTCTTTTTTTTATATTAATTTATTTTGAATTACCAACAATCACTTCCATAAGCTTTTGAGCTTTAAATTTTTCTCCCCCTCCCTCCCCAAGATGGTGCACAATCTGATACAGGCTATACATATACATTCCTATTAAACATATTTTCACATTAGTGATGTTATAAGTAAGAATTAGAACCAATAAGAGGAACCACCAGAAAGAGGAAACAAAATACAACAGAAGAAAAAAAAAAGGAAATAGTATGCTTCAATCTGCATTCAAATTCCATAGTTCCTTCTTCTTTGTGGACAGCATTTTCCATCATGAGGCCTTTGGACATGTCTTAGATCCCTGTATTGCTGAGAAAGGTTAAGTTTATCAATATTAGTCATCACACAACGTGGCTGTTCTTGTGTACAATATTCTCCTGGCTCTGCTAACTTCACTCAGCATCAGACCATACAAGTCTTTCCAGGTTTTTCTGAAGTCTGCCTGTTCATCATTTCTTATAGCACAATAGTATTCCATTCCATTAACATACCACAACTTGTTCAGTCATTTCCCAATTGATGGGCATCCTCTCAATTTCCAATTCTTTGCCACCACAAAAAGAGCTGCTATAAATATTTTTGTACATGTGGGTCCTTTCCCCATTTGTATGATCTCTCTGGGATATAGCCCTAGAAGTGCTTATTGCTGGGTCAAAGGGTATGCACATTTTTATAGCCCTTTAGCCAGCTAAG